TGAGGAGATTGACTTTTTCCCCCTTCTTTTTTCCCTCTCTATTGATTAGGAATTTATACATTGTTGTTGTTGTTCTTAGTGGTTACTCTTGAATTTTCACAATGAATTTTTTCCTTATTGAATTACCTTGTCACCATTGACCTATGGGTAAATTTCTCAACTCTATTTAGTTCTATTAACCTATACACCTACAGAGACCATAGAGCATTTTGACTTTCATCACATTCCTCCTCACTGATATTATTGTTTTTATGCTGTCTCTTTTTTAAACCTACCTACATTATTATTTTATATGAACAACGTTTGTCTTCATTTATCTACAAATTTGGACCTTTTTTTGCCTTTCCATCTCCTCTTTTCAAATCTACATTCTGAAATCCTCTTCATTTTTCCTGAAATGTTATATGTTCTAGATGTTCCTTTGGTGAAGGTCTCTTGTTGATGAACAATCTTCTTTTTTGTTACCTGGAAATATTTTTATTTTGTTCTCATTCTAATAAGATAGTTTTGCTCCATGCATAGTTCTGAGTTGACAGTTTGTTTTATTTCTCAGCATTTGATAATATAATTCTACTTTTTCTGGCTCACGTATTATTATTGAAAAGTGTATTGTTTGTTTAATTGTCATTTCTTTTAGGGAATCTGCCTTTTCTTTCTGACCGCTCTTAATTTTTGGTGTATTACAGTTTCATTACAATGTACTTTATTAGAATAAAATTCTACTTGTTTCATTGTGTGTCTTGTATCTGTAGATTCAAATCCATCAACAGTTCTTGAAAATTCTCAGCCATTTTCAATTATTGCTTCTTTTTTGTTTTCCCAACTCTCTCTCTGGAATTTCCAAACGTCGTAGGTTTCAGTCTGTCTTCCATTTCTCTTTTTTTGGTGTGGTAAAATATATATAACATAAAATTTACCATTTTAGCCATTTATAAGGATAGTTCAATGGCATTAAATACTTGCACACTGTTATAAGTGGATTTTCATCATCCATTCCCAAACTTTTCCATTGTCCCAAATTGAAACTCTGTATTCATTAAATAATAACTCATCATTCCCTCTTCCCCCCAGTCCCTGACAACCACCATTCTATTTTTTATTTCTATGAATTTAACTTCACTAGGTACTTTATATAAGTGGAGTCATTTCAATATTTGTCCTTTTGTGATTGGCTTGTTTTACTTAGCATAATATCTTCAAGATTCACCCATGTTATAGCATGTGTCAATATCCTTCCGTTTTTTAAAAATAATTTTTAATTATGGTAAAATACACATAACATAAAATTTGCTGTCTTGACCATTTTTATTATTTTTTAATAGATTTTATTTACTTATTATTTATTTATTTATGGCTGCATTGGGTCTTTATTGCTGCGCATGGGCTTTCTCTAGTTGAGGCTAGCGGGGGCTACTCTTTGTTGTGGTGTGCAGGCTTCTCATTGTGATGGCTTCTCTTTTTGCAGACCACGGGTTCTAGGCGCGTGGGCTTCAGTAGTTGTGGCTCGCAGGCTTTAGAGCACAGGCTCAGTAGTTGTGGTGCACGGGCTTAGTTGTTCCATGGCATGAGGAATCTTACTGGACCAGGGATCAAACCTGTGTCCCCTGCATTGGCAGGTGGATTCTTAACCACTGTACCACCAAGGAAGCCCCTTAACCATTTTTAAATGTGCAGTTCTGTAGTATTAAGTACATTCATATTGTAGTATAGCCAATCTCCAGAACTCTTTTCATCTTGTAAAACTGAGACTCTATACCTGTTTCTGAACTGTTTCTATTCACAACACTTCTGACACCAAATATGTGGGATTTTTTTCCCCATGCCAGCCAGTTCTCCAACTCTCCAGACAGTAGGCCTAGGGTTTCCATGACCCATCCCTACCTTGAGTTCAATAATTAGGTAGAATGGCTTACAGAACTCAGGAAAGCACTTTACTTACTATTTCCAGTTTATTATAAAGAATACAACTCGGGAACAGCCAAATGGAAGAGAGAGATGCATAGGGCAAGGTATGGGGGAAGAGGCACAGAGCTTCCATGCTCTTTCCAGGTACACTGCCTGCCCAACACCTCCATGTGTTCACCAACCCAGAAGCTCTCTGAATGAATCCCATTGTTAAGGGGAGTTTTATGGAGATTTCATTTAGTGGGCATGCTTGATTAAATCATTGGCTGCTGGTGCTTAGCTATCTATGGGCCTTTTGTCATCTAATTAGCATAAAAAAGACATTCTTATCACTTAGGGGATTACAAGAATTTTAGGAGCTGTGTGTCAGGAACCAGGGACAAACACGAAATATTTCTGTATTATTGTGCCACTCACCGTGCTACTTTCTGTGTCTGAATTTGTCTATTGTAGGTACCCCGATATAAGTGGAATCATATAGTATTTGTATTTTTGTGACTGGCTTATTTTACTTAGCATAATGTCTTCAAGATTCATACATGTTCTAGCATGTGGCACAATTACCTTCCTTTTTAAGGCTGAATATTCCATTGTATGTATATGGACATTTTGTTTGTACATTCATCCATTGATGGACATTTGATTTGCTTCCACCTTTTGGCTGTTGTGAATAATGCTACTGTGAACATGGTTGTACAGGTATCTGTTCAAATCTCTGCTTTTCAAACCTTAAACGTAGGGCTCTCCTGTTCAGCTCCCTACCTGATCTTAGAACTGGTTGAGGCATTTGCCCTCAAGCCACTTCACCTTTCATGGGTTTTCTTACTGCTCTCTGCTCCTGTTTCTCCTCATTCTAGATGTTTGGCGTTTATTTATTTATTTATGGTCCTTGGAGATTCTCCTCGCTTTTACCGAGCCCAGCAATGCATGAAAATTGTTAGTTGTAATTTATCCAGCATCTAGTGTGGTTTGGATAGGAGTGCTCTTCAAGGTACCTACTTTACCATATTGCCAGAAGCAGTATCTGTTTAATTTTAAGCTTCAAACATGTATGAAAACATATTATATTTTCTCTTTATGGAGCATAGTTATTTTCATCTTTCTTTGTAAATGATGCATGTGTTTTTGGTGTTTTTAACTTTCAAGATACTTTGAGTGTTAAATAACATTCGGGAGTGGGTGATGATGGGGAACAGCCTGAATCTCTTAACCTCCTTTGTTCACTCTTAGCAGTTTTTCAAACATAAGTAAATTACTAATTAAAATTTTTTAATTAAATATATTAAATAATTATCCTTTAGTTACTTAATATCTACCAGTTCTGAAATACCTTTAATACTATGTAGTGTATCTGAGTATAGGTATAAAACTCTTAGATTTTCCCTTGAATTTTTCTCTTGCCATAATTACTGAGTTAAGTGAAACTCACTTAAAAAGAACTGTAACATCTAGCATACTTTTACCAAGAAAGATGTGCTGATAAATATCTAATCAGAGTAGTCTGTATGTCACGTAGTTCTTATTTATTGCTTTCCTTTGCATGTTCAGATTTTTGTAATGACTTCTATAGGATAGGAATATTAGGGGTGAAAGTTGACTAATATTATAAATGAGGAGCAAAGATATTATGCATATCCGAGTTTGCAGTTTACTAGGGTTTTTAAGAGCGAACAGAACTTCTTCATATTAACCTATATCTGCTTTAATTGCACGTAATATCCTGATTAAATATCAAGGTCATTATTGAAAAGCATAGAATTGAGGGGGGAAATGTGAAAGATAATAGAGAGTGAGGGTTAAAGAAAGAAGAGGATATGAAACTATAGATAAAAAGATGTACTGGAGTAATGTTATTGATTTGTAGCTTGACACACTTTATAAATATCTGAAGGG